TATATGTGTACACGTGGGCTATGAATCCTGCGGCTTCGACACGCGGTTGAGCCCGTACACGTGGGATTGTGGTGTGGATGTGCCCAATGGAGGAGGCGGGGCTTATCAGGATGCCGTCCGTATCCTGCGGTGAACACTTTAGTCAAGCCGACCACTCGACTGGGCTAGGAAAGTCACGTCTAGCCCTATAGCTTGCCAAAAGCTATACTCTGTCTTGCTCGTAGTAATAATGAGGCTTCGCCTCTCGCTTAAAGACAGTTCACCAAGTGCGCTCCGCATCGGCCTCCTCACGCTTATATAGCCCTTCGCTCCGCCCATTGGGCGTGGAGTGTTTTGATTGGTCACTGAGTGACCTTTCCCACGCTAGGGGCTCCTCCGCCGTGCCGGAGCCGATCAATACAGGCATAGTCGACTGCCCAAGGTCGACCATGTATCGATTTGTGTAAGGGGCGACGCAATAAACTATGAACATGACATAAACAGGTACAGGAGTTAACGAGACCCAGGAGTACCTGACACATCGGCATTCTTACTTTTATCTTTGGATATTAATAAAATAGGGGGTCCCTATGGCGAGGCACTGTAGACTTCTATAGAAAGACTGTCGGGCACAACCCAACGCACACACCCAAAAAAGTCGAAAAAAATTTTTTGGCCGAAAGATTGTTTACAGGGGTAATCGATGGCCCCGATCATGATTTTCACACTTATTTTCGGCGCCGACGTAATTTGGCGCCTGGGTAGCGCTACACATCCCTTACTTGTGTGTAGCAAACGCATTCATTGGGAGAAACATGTCACTCCATATTAGCGATAAATGGCACCGTAGCTACAAATAAGTTCCATATTCGTGATTCGGGCATGGTCTGACCTATAAAGGTCAACTTTCAATTACGGTCTTGCTTAATGGTATGTAAAACCTGTAATAATTGAATAGCACTGATTCATGGAGTGTTCCCATTTAAAATGTGCCCATAAATGGCAGTTATCGAACGCATACTCACGCACAGACATATTTGAACGCGAAAACAGCAAAACATAAAAAATGCAAAAACTCGCACGCCGAGGGGAGTCGAACCATCAACCCCACCCCAACTGTCCGCTTGAGAATCCTTCACGCTATCCACTAGGCCATCCGATCGTTGTTGCTGAACATTCCTCCGATCGTTGAAGAAACCATTCCATGAAGCCGTTCACGCTTGATTACGTGCCACAAGTAAGACCCCATACCCCAACTACTTTTCTCTTCGATTCCGATAGTACCTTTATAGGGTCCCTCCATTCAGCAACTGGTCAAAGTTTCAAGCGGTTTACAGCTCGTAGAGGCTCAAAAACAATCAGTTTCCATAGGTTTCTTTTTCGCTCCTTTTTTGGCATTCCAGGGGCCGCTCAGCCAAAACGAAGCCCACTTTTATGGTTCATGGGCAAGGCCCTACAAAGTGCAATAAACCGTTTCGAAAAAGCGGGGCACGCCCTGAACGACCTCCCTTGGTTAGAGCAGAACGCTTCCCTTTTAAGGTGCTTGTGCCACCTTTCGCACATCATAGATGTATTCATCACCGCACCTTTCCTATGGTGGGCACCCCACTCCTCTACTCGTTGAGTCCTGAACGTACATGACAAGTTTTAAAAATTCAGCAGTGAAAAAATTTACCAGTTTCGGTGTAAATAGTCGACTAAATTCGTGTTGGCTCTCGTTCAAAAGGAACGTTAAAGTATCTCCATATCTTTTCGTGAAAATTAACTGGTTTGCATGATCTGCTGACTAGACGAATCCTTGACATGAATTCCCCAAGCAACGACGGCCAAAGGAAGGAGATGATAGAAAAGCGCGTTTCGGGCTTGTATTGAGTACTGAGTCAATTTCTTTCTAGCAGAACGCTTGAAAGCTTGCAATACGTGCCAGTTACAAAGTATCTTCCGCGTGTGAGCATTAGGAAACACGCGACGAAATGATGCAGCGTCGTCACTCATGAAAAAATCGGGCGCAAACGCGGGAACCAATTCTTTCACTTTATCGAACAGGGTTACAAGGTCGCTCTCGCTCATCCTACAATACAGGTGTCATCGAGTAGTGCAGACCAAGCAGAACGTTGTGTTTTTACCTGAAAGCTAAGCATGAAAGCAGCTGGAAGTGCTCTGTCACTGTGATCAGCTACGATGATTTTAACAAGCCGTAGCTTGTACATAGACACGTTAAATATATCATTTATTCGAATACCTCTCTGTGAAGTCTTTCAGTCATTTTTATTGAGTATGACTGAAAAAGCAATGTAATATGCGCTAAAGTTATGCATGAACTTTCAGACTCACTCAGGCAAAATCCATCGCCGGTGTCTTGAGACTAGGAGCGCAGTAGCGGATTCAGTCGCTAACATTTCTTTCACCTCCGCTTCTCAAGAGAAGTAATTCAGGTCGCGCCGCCCGGGAATAGGTTGTTCCGCCTACTGATGGCCCTGAAATGATTATGAGGTATTCGAACTGAACGAATGATCTAAAAAGACAAATCGAACGAGTGATGTAATTATGGTGCAGCCAAACCGTATGTCTCCAACTGTAACGAAAAACAGGCGATTCTCCGTCCTACTGATTTCAGTTGAGTTTCTGCATCTTTCTCTTATCTTCTGCTTCACTTGCCCATGATTGAACCCTTCTTTCAGCATATCCACGATTGACTGTTCACTATAATTGTCTAAGCCATAGAAGAGCGGGATCGGGCTCATGTCCCACATGTGCAAGGCAATATTCAACATGAACTTGCGCAGAAGTAAACTTTGCCTAAAGCAATTTGATTATTTATTACTGAACAACTACTCAGCGATTGGTGGTAAATTACATTTATACGCGGTACAATGGCTGACTGAACGTTTGCAAGTGTTTGTCGAAGCGACTGAAAGAAGATGGCCCTGATCGATGACATCTGTAGTATACGCGAGTAAACACCCTTTCCTATTTTCTTGCTGCGGATTACGAAGGATGTTATGGATGCATCCTGCGCCAGTTTCATCCACTCCTGAGATCACGAATTTCCCTGGCAATCTTTTCATATTGTAAATCTCATTCCAAAAAACTCTAACCTCAAAATCGCCTTCGGTTTCAAATGATATCTTGTTTACGTTTACGTCCGTGCAGTGTAACATTGAATAGCCTTCACGAGTTCCTTCAGATCCCGAACCGTACCCTCACACTTTGGACATTTTACGCTTCCGTTTTCTGCATATTTCCAGCCATTTTGTGAGAAATTTCCTGAAGCACTCATTGATCCTGTCACGTGGTTCGCATGGTTCTGGGCAGCATTCAGCTGTTCTGCATTCTGTGTTCTGCAGTCACCATTTTCAGTGAATTTTTCAGTGAGAACTCCATCTCGCAATTTTCACATCGGAAAAGGATGTGCGACGAGATATTATGAAGACGATAAGTCCTCAGAAAAAAAAACACCAGATGATAATAAAATAGAAACCAACTTTCTGCTTCCCAATTAAAGAAACAAAGAATGTAACTAGAAACTGTGAACAGTCGTGTTAAACCTGGAATAATTTTCAGCACGCTATACATCACATATTCAGCAACAAAATGGGGTTCACAATAACTCGGGTATTATGAGTTATGTAGTTATGAGTTATGTTAGTTGTGTATTATGGTAATGTTACACTGCACGGACGAGGGGTGAAACGTAAACAAGATGTCATTTGAAGCCGAAGGCGATTTTGAGGTTAGAGTTTTTGGGATGAGATTTACAATATGAAAAGATTGCCAGGGGAATTCGTGATCTCAGGAGGGATGAAACTGGCACAGGATGCATCCATAACATCCTTCGTAATCCGCAGCAAGAAAATAGGAGAGGGTGTTGTACACACATACTACAGATGTCATCGATCAGGGCCATCTTCTTTCAGTCGCTTCGACAAACACTTGCAAACGTTCAGTCAGCCATTGTACCGCGTATAAATGTAATTTACCACCAATCGCTGAGTAGTTGTTCAGTAATAAATAATCAAATTGCTTTAGGCAAAGTTTACTTCTGCGCAAGTTCATGTTGAATATTGCCTTGCACATGTGGGACATGAGCCCGATCCCGCTCTTCTATGGTTGGACAATTAATAGTGAACAGTTCAATCGTGGATATGCTGAAAGAAGGGTTCAATCATGGAGCAAGTGAAGCAGAAGATAAGAGAAAGATGCAGAAACTCAACTGAAATCAGTAGGACGGAGAATCGCCTGTTTTTCGTTACAGTTGGAGACATACGGTTTGGCTGCACCCATAATTACATCACTCGTTCGATTTGTCTTTTTAGATCATTCGTTCAGTTCGAATACCTCATAATCATTTCAGGGCCATCAGTAGGCGGAACAACCTATTCCCGGGCGGCGCGACCTGAATTACTTCTCTTGAGAAGCGGAGGTGAAAGAAATGTTAGCGACTGAATCCGCTACTGCGCTCCTAGTCTCAAGACACCGGCGATGGATTTTGCCTGAGTGAGTCTGAAAGTTCATGCATAACTTTAGCGCATATTACATTGCTTTTTCAGTCATACTCAATGAAACGCAAAAATGACTGAAAGACTTCACAGAGAGGTATTCGAATAAATGATACATTTAACGTGTCTATGTACAAGCTACGGCTTGCTACAATCATCGTAGCTGATCACAGTGACAGAGCACTTCCAGCTGCTTTCATGCTTAGTTTCAGGTAAAAACACAACGTTCTGCTTGGTCTGCACTACTCGATGACACCTGTATTGTAGGATGAGCGAGAGCGAACCTTGTTAACCCTGTTCGATAAAGTGAAAGAATTGGTTCCCGCGTTTGCGCCCGATTTTCTTCATGAGTGACGACGCTGCATCATTTCGTCGCGTGTTTCCTAATGCTCACACGCGGAAGATACTTTGTAACTGGCTCGTATTGCAAGCTTTCAAGCGTTCTGCTAGGAAGAAATTGACTCAGTACTCAATACAAGCCCGAGACGCGCTATGAACGCACTTATTTGTCGCCAGCGGCTGGTCCCACGCGCGCGCAACTTTGAATTCAAACGCGCTGTGTGCATGTGCACAACACTCTGAACACCGTAATCTCTCCTGGTCTATTATATACGAACGAACGAATAAACTATGTACTGAATGGATAACCTTATTTTCTCTTATAGTGGGTAAGCGCGCTGCTCCAGAGACACGGTGTCACATGCTGGAATCCACACAAGTTGATTATATCAGTTTTTCTAACATTCTCTTTTGACTACATTCTTTTTGCCCCTGCATGTTCCATCAGAACGGCGATCTCATAGGTGAGTTTTCACATTTCCTGAATTCTAATATTTGTGAATGCGTCGCCATTTTCTCCGTGCTTTCATTTTCGATCCCATTCTACATTACCCTTTCTTGAACCTGTCTTGCATGCACTTTATATACCATTTTCACTTTAAATCGGACACTTTTCAAACCAAATCGGACACTTTTCAAACCAAATCGGACACTTTTCAAACCAAATCGGACACTTTTCAAACCAAATCGGACACTTTTCAAACCAAATCGGACACTTTTCAAATCAAATCGGACACTTTTCAAACCAAATCGGACACTTTTCAAATCAAATCGGACACACCCCTTACAATTAGGTGGTTGATAACTAGACCACACTAGGTACTGTTGCAAGCCCCGCCCCATTATCCCCGCCCACTTCTCAGCGCGGACAGGGTTTTCCGAGATGCTTCATGAAATCTGCTCCTCGACTTTTTTCGTTTTTGCCCTTTGCACACACACTTCAACTGAAAAAGATTGATACCTATACAGATCTGACTCCGCCCACTTAACAATGAAGTTACGTAAGTTCTGAATTTTTATAACTTTTTTCGACGTAGTTCTTTTCACATCCAATCTTCACAAAACGAATAACCATGCACACCAGGCCCCGCCCCTCTGACCCCGCCCACTTGTGTTTATCGCGGAATTTTGGTTTTTCTTCCGGATTTTCGCTTTTTTAGGCTTTAGCGATTGGCTCCGCCCACCAATGGAAGCTCCGCCCACTTTTCGAAAATGATGCAAATCGGCGGGCTAGTGTCCGTGCTGGCGGTTAGGCTGCGTTTATACTTTGCGGCAGCGTAGCGTAGCGTAGCGCAGCGTAGCGTAGCGCTTCCAGCGTACGCCAGCGGCAGTGCCGAAGAGAGGATGCATATCGATCTAGCTTCACCAGCTTCACGCAGCGGCACGCTAGCGTACGCCAGCGTTTCTCCAGCGTTTCACCAGCGTTTTGCTAGCGTTTGCAGCGGCAGGGGAGTAGAGACTATGGGAGAGCTGGAGGGTACAAAACACATCGATTGCGCGTCTCTCACTCGCCCTTAGTCTCTACAATGCACATCGCTTCTGCGTCTCCGACGGCCACATAGTCTCTACAATGCACATCGCTTCTGCGTCTCCGACGGCCACATAGTCTCTACAATGCACATCGCTTCTGCGTCTCCGACGGCCACATGGTCTCTACAATACACGTCGATTCCGCGTCTCTCACGGCCACATAGTCTCTACTCCCTGCCGCTGCAAGCGCTAGCAAAACGCTGGTGAAACGCTGGAGAAACGCTGGCGTACGCCAGCGTGCCGCTGGTGACGCTGGTGAAGCTAGATCGATATGCATCCTCTCTTCGGCACTGCCGCTGGCGTACGCTGGAAGCGCTACGCTACGCTGCCGCAAAGTATAAACGCAGCCTTAGGCCTCGCCCGTCGCTAACAAAGTTTCCATTTTTTTCCGGTTTTTCCCTTTTTTTATTCTATGTGCCGGGAGAGGCCGTAATCCGCCAGTACGGACACTAGCCCGCCGATTTGCATCATTTTCGAAAAGTGGGCGGGGCTTCCCCAAAGTGGGCGGAGCTTCCATTGGTGGGCGGAGCCAATCGCTAAAGCCTAAAAAAGCGAAAATCCGGAGAAAAAGCAAAATTCCGCGATAAACACAAGTGGGCGGGGTCAGAGGGGCGGGGCCTGGTGTGCTGTGCATGGTTATTCGTTTTGTGAAGATTGGATGTGAAAAGAACTACGTCGAAAAAAGTTATAAAAATTCAGAACTTACGTAACTTCATTGTTAAGTGGGCGGAGTCAGATCTGTATAGGTATCAATCTTTTTCAGTTGAAGTGTGTGTGCAAAGGGCAAAAACGAAAAAAAGTCGAGGGAGCAGATTTCATGAAGCATCTCGGAAAACCCTGTCCGCGCTGAGAAGTGGGCGGGGATAATGGGGCGGGGCTTGCAACAGTACCTAGTGTGGTCTAGTTATCAACCACCTAATTGTAAGGGGTGTGTCCGATTTGATTTGAAAAGTGTCCGATTTGATTTGAAAAGTGTCCGATTTGGTTTGAAAAGTGTCCGATTTGATTTGAAAAGTGTCCGATTTGGTTTGAAAAGTGTCCGATTTGGTTTGAAAAGTGTCCGATTTGGTTTGAAAAGTGTCCGATTTGGTTTGAAAAGTGTCCGATTTGGTTTGAAAAGTGTCCGATTTAAAGTGAAAATGGTATATATCCCCTTCACATTACCATTGCTTTGTGGCGTAGAGAATCATCAGGTTTCTGTCATGGCTTCCGAGATATTCGCGGTGAATGCTGTTACGCGAACCCTTCGGAAAACCACGAGATGACCTGAGGTGTTGAGCAAAACTTCTTTAGGCAGCGTTCAGACTTTTAGCGCTACGCCGCGCTACAGCTGTAGCGCTACTGTACCGAAGTCCAGCTTCCATTTTTTTTTCTGAATTCAATCCCTTTCCCTTCATTTCTCATTT